ATGCCCCGAGCGGAGCAGCGCCGGAAGCGGCGGCCACCAGGCCCTCCTCCCACCAGGCGGAGCAGACGGGCAGCGCCATCGGAGGCGCGCGCCGAAGCGCCTCCTCCGAGAGGTTGGCGGCCGCAGCGAGCGTGCCCGCCGCCTCGCGCTTTGTCGAGCCCCGCGCCTCTGCCACGGCCCACGGGTCGGGACCGCCCTTGCCGCCGCCCTTGCCGCCGCCCTTGCCGCCTCCCTTGCCTCCCTTTCCGCCTCCCTTTCCGCCTCCCTTGCCCTTGCCGACGCCCTTGCCTGCACCACCCTTGCCGCCGCGGCCACGCTCCCAGTCGTTGGGCTCATTGAACGGGTCGCTCTCCGTCGGGGCGATCTCGGCGCGATCTCGGCGTCTTAGGCGATGAAGTTGGACGCGTCCGAGCTGCGCCGCGCCGCTTTTGCCAAGCGGCTGCTGCAGCTCTGTGCGCACGCGACGCCCGCGCTGGCTTGCGGCGCCCTCCTCCTCCTCTCGGAGGTGGCGCGCGCCGCCCCCTCCCTTCGCGCGATGATTGCGCAGCCGCAGATCGCAATCTCGCTGCCGCGAGATCGCAATCTGGCACCCAGCCGGCGCCGTCGCCGCGGGCGGCGGCAGCAGCAGCCGCGGTAGCAGCAGCGGCGGCGGCGGCAGCAGCAGCCGCGGTAGCAGCAGCGGCGGCGGCGGCGGCGATGGCAGCGGCGGCGGCGGCGGCGGCGGCAGCGGCGATGGCAGCGGCGGCGGCGGCGGCGGCGGGAGTGGCAGCGGAGAGGCGGCGACGGCGGCGGCGACGGCGGCGGCGGCGTACTCTTGGAAGAGCCGCAACCCGCTGCATGCGAGCGCCGACAAGTCGCTGCTTTGGGAGGTTGCCGTGCTGTCGCGCCACTTCCACCCGTCTGTGGCGCAGTTCGCCTCGGCGCTCGCAGCTGGGGAGGCAATCTCGTACAAGGGCGCGCCTTATCTCGCCAGATCTCCGCACACCTCCCCAAATCTCCCCACATCTCCCCACATCTCCCCGCATCTCCCGCCAGGCGACCCGCTGCACGACTTCCATATCTCCCCGTATCTCCCCACATCTCCCCGTATCTCCCGCCAGGCGACCCGCTGCACGACTTCCATATCTCCCCGTACCTCCCCACATCTCCCCACATCTCCCGCCAGGCGACCCGCTGCACGACTTCCACATCTCCCCGTATCTCCCCACATCTCCCCACATCTCCCGCCAGGCGACCCGCTGCACGACTTCCAGTTGGGCTCGTTTCTGGACAAGTTCGTCTTCAAGAACCCGAAGCGAGGTGTCTCGGCAATCTCGGCTAAGCTCGGCTAAGCTCGGCTAATCTCGGCTAAGCTCGGCGAATCTCGGCGAATCTCGGCGAATCTCGCCGACACTGACGCCGTGCTAATCTCGGCTAGTCTCGGCTAATCTCGGCGAATCTCGGCTATTCAGGTGCGTCGGGCGGCGGCGGCTCGCTGATGCAGCCGGCGGCGGCGGCGCCGTCGCTCTCGCTCTCGCAGCCAGCGGTGGCGCGGCAGCTGGCGCAGACGGCTGTTTCCCGCGTGCCGGCGAGAGATTGAGCCGAGATCCGCCCGAGATCCGCCCGAGATCCGCCCGAGATCCGCCCGAGATCCGCCCGAGATCCGCCCGAGGTGAGGCGAGGGCGGGCGAGCCTTTTTCCGCTCCACGCAGCTGTCGCACGCCCTCTCTTCGCACCCTCCCTGCCCGCCCCTCCTCTCTCCGCACCCTCCCCTGCCCGCCCCTCCCCTCCACCCAACCCTCCCAGGCACATGAGCGCTTCTTCCACACCTACTTCGAGCGCAAGGTGCGCGCGGCCAGCAAAAAGGCGCGCGGCGCGGCCAAGCGCCCCAAGGGCGGTGGCGAGAATGGCGACGGCGAGGCGGCGGGCGGCGGGGCGGGCGGGGCGGGCGGCGGCGACGCGGAGGCGGAGGGCGAGGAGGAGGAGGAGGAGGAGGAGGAGGCGTTCGCGCAGCAGCCGGCGGAGGGGCTGATCATGGACGGTGAGTCATGAGTCGGGGGTGGTTGAGAGCTAGGCGTTCGCGCAGCAGCTGGCGGAGGGGCTGATGGCGGACGACCCGGGCGACGACGACGACGAGGGCCTTTGGCTCTCTCGCCCCTCCGGCGGCGTCGGCGGGCGCTTTCTCCGAACTGTCTCGGAACCCTGTAGGCTTCGGGCTCGACGGCCTCGGCGACAGCAGCGACGGCGGCGGCGACGACGAGGAGGAGGAGGAGGAGGAGGAGGAGGAGGAGGACGAGGCGGCGGGCGACGAGGAGGACGAGCCCCTCAGCGGTTTCGAGGACGACGACGACGACGACGACGACGAGGAGGAGGCGGGCAAGAAGGGCGGCGGCGGCAAGCAGAAGCGCAAGCGCGGCGGCGCCACCTTCGCCGACGCCGACGAGTTTGCGCACATCCTCGAGGCGTGGGACACTTCTTAGACACCTCTTGGACACTTCTGAGACACTTCTTAGAGTTTGCGCACATCCTCGAGGCGGCGGCAGGGACGGGGGGGAGGCGTGGGGCCCCTTCGGCTCTTCACAGCCGGGGCTGTGAATAGGCGGCGGCCGACACGGGCGAGGAGGACAAGATCTCGAGTTGGCAGGCGGGACGCGGCGGCGGCGGCGGCGGCGGCGGCGGCGGGCGGCCGCGCCACGCCGCAAAGCGCGGCCGGAGGCGGTGAGGGCTGAGGCAGCAGCCATGGTGGGCAGTTCCGGGGGCCAGGCTCGCGCCTTTTCGCCGAGACCCCTGGCTGGCGGACAGATCTTTGAGGTCAAGTGTGTCGCTGTCCGCTCTAGCTTTGGTCGATGTGTACCGCCGGCCGTGTGTGTGCCCGCCTCGCCGTGTACTGTACCCCACAGTGGTGGGTGAGGTCTGAGCACTGAGGAAGAGCGTGAGGCTAGGGAGGTAATTCCCCTCCGGATTATTTATCGGTGGCTGTCGCGTGCTGCGCGACCGCGCCGGCCAGCGTGGTGGCCCCAGCAGGTGCACACACGAGGCAGCACAACGTGCGGTGGGAGACAGGCGCGAGGACGAGAGGGCGGGACACTCGCACACGCACTCGCGCGCCGTGCGGCGTGCGACCCAACCTGGTTTGTGGAGCTCCCACACATTACCTAGAGAGCACGGCATTCGGGGCCATGATCTCGGTTCCGCACTGGACTTTTTTTGTAGTGGAGAGAATTCAGGAATCTTTCTGCTCTGGCAGGCAGCTGCATCATCCCCCTTTACTTCAATCAGCTGTGTACACTCAAGTGCTAGTACTGTCTGAATAGCTGTCTAGACGCTCCGATTTTGCTGTCTGGACGCTGTCTGGACACTGTCTGGACGCTGTCTGGACGCTGTCTGGACGCTGTCTGGACATGGAAGATCGCGTGAGGTGTGAATAGACCTGCAGACAGGAATCATACTCTGATACTCAACAACACGTCAGCCAAATGTGAGCGATCAAAACTTGAGTTGCATTCTCTTGGCTGGATGGATGGATGTGGTATGACGTATGTGGACAAAACATCTTTCTCAATGGAAACCGACGGAAGCACCATCCCTCCCTTTAGTTTTGCCCTCCGCTCTATGCACTGGTGAAGGACGATCCACATAACTCACCAGACAAAATTCAAAATTTGAGCTAAGATTTGGGTGGGGTTGAGCGCGTGAACGTGAAAATCGCCGATTTGGCGCGAGTCGTCGCGCCTCTCGTGTCGCCACGCTGGCAACCGTGCCGCCCGCCGATGATCGTCGCGGCCACTCTGGCGCCGGCATCGGCTCAGCCACCGCACGGCAACGCGACCAAGCGCGGGCGGAGCGTGGTGACTGCCGAGGTCGTGAAGCCGGCCAAACGCTTGGTTGCAGTGGCGGTTGCACCGTCCCAGCCCGTGCCTGCAACGGTTGTCGCAGCTGCTAAGCCTCGCGCCTGCGTGGTTGCGGTGCGCAGCTCCGCGTGCACGAGCGTCGCCACCGCGACGCGGGAGGAGCAAGCGGAGCGCCTTGAGCACCGCCGCCTCGCCGATCGCCCCCGCCTCGGCAGGCTCCTTTGCCGGCGCGCCGCCAGGCAGCACCCGCCCGAGCCCATCCGCCTCGGCCGCGATCACAGCCTGCTCGGCCGCCTGGTCCGGGCGAGACGAGCGCCCGCCAGACTGCGGCGAGTCCGCACCGCGTGCACCAGCGACGCGAAGATTCGCTGCCACTGTTGCTGCTGTTGCTTGGGCGGCGAGAAGCGCCGTGTTTGCGGCGTCTGTCGCGGAGGAGGGAGGGCGGTCCGGCGGCGATGGGAAAGGACGGCGTGGCGGCGGCGCAAGCGCGTTCGGTCGCGCGCGCCCCGAGGCCGCCGTCGTGGGTGCAGCGTGCGTGCCTGACTGAACTGCTGGGCTCGCGCTTTGCCCAATGCGCAGCGGCGGGTCGGCGTGGCTACTGCCGGCCCGCAGCTTCTTCATCGGCGGCGCGGGGCTCGCGGCTGCAGCATGGAACCCGACCAATGCGTGCCCACGCTTGCTCTGCCCTTTCCGCAGCATCGTTGCGACGTCGGCGTTGCCCCCCACAGTTGCCGCCACAGTTGCCGCTCTGCCCGAGTTCTTCGCGGGCACTTTGGGGGACCCTTCTGTGAGAGGGCCTGTCTAGACAGCTGTCTAGACAGCTGTCAAGACAAAACTACAAGTTCAAACTTCAAGTTCTCAAGTTCTCTTAGTTCTGCTGTCTAGACGCACCCCCCCCCCAATGGCAAGTAAAGAAAGCGGCATGTGGGTGGGTGGGTGGGTGGGTGGGGAGTGGCCTCGGCAGCGCCAGGGGTGCTGTCAGGGGTCGTCCAGCCACGACTACGAGACTTTACTGTGAATAATGGAGCCATGTGCCACTGTCTGGACGCTGTCTGGACGCTGTCTGGACGCTGTCTGGACGCTGTCTGGACGCTGTCTGGACACTGTCTGGACAGGCTCAGGGCTGTCTAGACATGTGTGGGAGCTCCACAAACCAGGTTACCCCTGCGTGTACGGGGTGTGGAGGGTGAGTTCCAGGGGGGGTTGTGCGCCGGGCCCTCCTGCTCGGCTCCAGCCGGTAGACTAACTTAAAGCCGTAGTATAGACAAGTGTCTTGAGGTTGTCATCAACAGAGTAGAAGCGGATCTGACCTCGGGGCCGATGTGACCAAGCGCTGGTAGCGTGGTTTAGCCTCACACCCATGGTCTCACAGTGTGCCGGCAGTCGCCGAGCAGAGTCGCTCACATACAACGAAGAGCCGCAGCACAAGTGACTGAGGGCCAGCAGTGAGGGCGAGCCCATCGGCCATCGCTGTGACCTGACAGCTGTGTGGCAGCCGCACAGTAGGCTGTGCCCAACTGAGTGTGCAGAGCGTGTGAGCAGCAGAGGAGCTGCGCTCTCCAGGATTCAGGCGCAAAGAGCTGCATGCCACCGAAGGCGCTGTCGAGGTTCGCCGAGCGCGGCGAAATCGGGCCGCGCCACCGGCGAGCGCGTTGTTCTTTTCACTCTGGACAAAGACGGGGACACAGCGGACTGTGCGGGGTGTGTCCCCGTCATAGCGGCGAGGCGCGGGACCGTCTGTGGCGAGGTGGGTCGCGTCCCCCGATTTCCGTCAACTCAGCATCCACACCCTTTATCTCCACTGGAGCACTGCGCGGTGCGCGGTGCGTGGAGTCTCGGACTCTCCACTCCGCACTCTCGTGTGTGTGTGGCGATGGCCGCAAAGAGCGCAGCGCGCAGCGGCGAGACAAAAGTCTCAAGACACAATCACAAAACTGAGAAGAGAGTGGGAGACGAGAGTCGAGAGTGCGCGCCGGTGTGCGGCAGCGGGCGAGCGGCCCGAGGGGGCCGGCCACGAGCAGGAGGAGGAGGCAGGAGCTGCACGTGCGCGTCGTGCGCGCCCGCGCGCCGCGGCGGGCCGCCGACGCTCTAAGATGGTGTAGATTTGTTCGCTACAAGCATGAAAAACACGTAACCCGAGAGATTCGCTCTCTACTGTCCACAGCTTCCGCATGCTGTGGCTGGCGCGGCGCAAAAGGAGCCATGATTGGGGGATCCCAAGAGGGCAGAGCCAGAGGGCCACCCTCCAGCTGCAGCGGACCAGCGGCGGCAAGGGTTAGGGCGCGGGAGCGCAGCAACCCCTCGCAGCCAGCGCCCCAGCGCAGCGCCGCCACCGCCCCAGCCACCACCGCCCCAACCACCACCGCCGCCAGCGGCCTCCTCCCTCCGAAGCCTCCAGCCTCCAAGCCCCCCCCCGCGCAGCCGCCTCCGCCCTCCGCACTGCCGCCGCCCGCCGCGCCCGCCGCCCGCCGCGGCCGCCCCGAATCACCGCCCGCGCCCGCGCCCGCGCCCGCGCCCGCGTCCTCGCCCGCGCCCGACCGGCGCGCTCGCTCGCCTGGTGTGTGTGTGTGGGGAGGGGGGGGGGGGGGGCCCCAAGGGGAATAAGGGTGGCCAAAAAAGGTGGGGGGGGGGGGGGGGCTTCCCCCCCCCCGGGGGGGGGGCGCCCCAGGGGGGGGGGAATTTTAAAAAAACTTCCGGGGCGCACCAAAAAAAAAACCTCCCTCGTTTAATGTCTCGGGAAGGGAAAAAAAACCCCCCTTTGGGACCCGAAATCAAAACGGGGTCCCATTTCCCCGGGATTCCCCCCCCCCCCCCCAAAAAAACTTAAAAAGGCTTTTACTCCCCCCGCCCAAAAAAAAAAACCC